CGCATTTTATAGGAGCAACATTTTCAAGAAAAAGAACAATACGTACTCCAATTCAACCAAAGTACTCAACAAAAAAAATTGAGCTAAGTCGACTGTTTCGTATGCAAGAACAGAGGAGAAAACTTCGTAAGTTTTCTGTATGTATTAGAACTTTTTTCTCCAACTTAAGTGGTCGAATACTGGTCGCTTTTAGCAGTGTTAGAGGTTTATAACTTGTATTCTCAGCATCTTTTGAAATTATCGTTAGGAGAGTTTCGGATACTTAGAATACATATAATGCGAGTTCTTCTACTAGGAATTTCGAGAGTTCGGCTTAATAGAAGTATTAACTAGCAATAAAGAGTCATACTTGATATGGTATTTCACAGAGGACACTTTGAAGCTATATAAGCAATGAAAAGCTAAAAAGCGGAAAATTTTTGCTTGTTGAACATTCGTAAAATGCGGACATTCCTTATAAGAGACAAGAAAAAGGCGACAATATGAATATACAACATACTGCGTCATGAAATAACTCACTCTCTTCAGCATCTATAAAAATACTAACAAGAATAAATATTTTCTAATTGCTGCTCGTTGTTTAGATCATTAATTTTATCAATCGGTTATTTAATCTAACTAAAAAAAAGATAAACTAATTTTACCAGTAAAACCATTTCAAACAAAAGGACAAAAGTAAATGATTTTCTGATGACTTCTCTTTTCGAAAAACTTATTCTTCATAATGATTATGTACGATTTAATTATGTAGACATGAAGTTTTCTAAGTTATTTCAATGCATACTGATCAGTATCTTTCGTATGTTATCGTCTAAAGTGTATTTGTATCATTTGATTGATTAGATACTTATAAATACTCGAAAGAAAAATAAATCTAACATTAGAAGAAATAGAAAAACACTTGTATTTTTGCAAAAATGTTTGGTATCAAAATACTTGATTACATTTTTCTTAAATATTTCTTTTCAACATCAGTTGCTGATGATATTCGAATTACGAAATGCCAGTGAAACAATCGAAGTTTATTATTTTTTATCGATAATATCAAATATGTCATCATACCAATACACTGAGTAATGATGAACTACAAGTTACGACATCCAAGTAAGCAAATACTCAACTTCTTACACAGAACTCATAAGAAATTTCTCTTCTATAGATGTATGGGTATCAAGTTCAGTACTCATCTCGATACGCTATATTGACTCAACATTATTTATTAAAAACATATGAGCACTGCGAATTTGTTTAACGAACATTTTAATAACTAGGTTGTAAATCTGTATACTCGAGTTATGGATGTTATGATATACCTCCTTTAAAATGTCCACACAACATGATATCAAGCATTTTATAGAGTAATTGTAATTTAAATGTTCAGTTGGAATTATCATTCGCCAATAATAAAAGTTTGTAATAAACATTGACTGTTCAGACAATGCATACGCTATACTCAATGAGAGATCGTTGCGCACTCGATTGGCAGCAATCGCTGCAAAGAAATGTTCAATGAATGATGCACGAGAAAAACTTGATACCAGGAAGAAATTCATTTTCAACGATTGACTTTTGTTGTTGACGTCAGCAAACTTTGATTTATTCCTGGCTCATACGACAACACTTTCACAACCTCTTTGGAAGAGATTACCAGCAATACTCTGTAAAGAAAGTTGTTTTTTGACTTGAGCGAAATACGTCGATTTCGTTTTTAATAATAAACATCGAGTACAAGAGCTAAATGAATTGCTCATGGTTTCAGATAGGACATTGTTTTGTCAAAAGGGACTGTTAAAATTAACAATAGTAGAATATCTTTTCCTTTCTTGACGACATTCTGAAGAAATTTTAGAACTTCTTCAATCATCTCAAGATAACTCAAACTGACAAATGATCTTTAAAGTCTGTATATTAATATTATTTTGATAGGTGATAGCACTCGTAGACAGTGGACGAATAATAAAACCAAATGTGTTCATGAATGATACTATCAACATCAACACTCTCACATAAAGATATGTGACTAGAAATCTGTAAAGTGGCACAGGATCCGATTCCGAGACCAAAATTTTGATTTTTACCAGAATTCGGACCGAAGCTTACAGATTTTCATGCTGGTTCTGGTATACTTTTTTTTATCTAGAACTAGTCTAGACATGTACTCATCCTTATTATATTGTTGCGATTAAAAATCTACAAATCGGCCATATTATTTACTATTCTGCTAGAAGTATTTCATTAATCTCCATTCCTATTTCAAGAATCTAGATTTTTCAATGACTTGTATGGAATATTAAAGAAGGGAATCGGTACAATATACATAAATTTGATTCAATAGAAATTTGACTATTCTTTTGATAAAACATTTTTTCGAAGTTGTTTTCCTGTTTCTACTCGTATGAATCTTTTAGTGTTGCTATTGTACTTCTCTTTACTTTTAAAACACAACTTTATTATTGTTTAGAAATACGAGCGTAAATCTAAAATTTTAGGCTTAATCTTTCAAAACATTGTTTTTTTTCACAAAAAAATGAGACCAGAAGCTATACAAAAGTTGAACTCGGACCAGAGACGAGACTGAAAAAAAAGTGATTTTGCGTATATTAACGTGCGAGCTTGAGCATCAATTCAGAGAATAGTAAGTACTGGGACTCAATCTATGGGATTGACAACTTTGAAAAATAAGATTTGAGTGAAAAGAAACTTAACTCATTAGATTGATACTTATTAGGTTTTGATGCTGTCATAGACTTTTTTTTACTTGTTGTACATAAATGTCTACACTAAATTTGTGAAAGATATTAAAATCCTAATGAGTGAAGTGTATTTTACGACTGAATGGTAGTCATTATTTGTTCGTAACATTAATAAATGGATCGTTTTTTTTTCTAGTGTACGTTTACGCCCTTCAACATCAACTCATACTTCTGAATTTGTTCCTGGCAACATGTCCAGGTGACCAACTATTGATAAAGAATTTCGAATATTGTTCTTTTAAAATTTGATAACATATAAACAAGTCTTGAGCTTTAGCACAGATGCAGTGTAAAATTCGTCTTACCGTTGAATATACAAAGTTTCAATACAAATTCAAAAGGCTAAACTTATGATCAAATATATTGTTTCTCATTTTTCTAAGTTTATTTATCTTTATGGATTTTTATTACTGCACATTTTCTTTTGTTTTCATACATTTAGATTTATGAATGAGTAAAATATGGATAATGGATAATGGATAATTAAAAATCAAAATTAGTTTCGATCTACTCTAATTTCAAGGAATTATCGTATGGAATTATGCAAAATTTGTTTATCTTTTTTTATGTTTTCAATATAATTGACTTAGCATAAAAATCTTACAAAACGAAGCTCGTTTCTGTGTTTCCTAACCTCAGGTTATAAGAGAAACCGAAAATCGTTACATCATAATTCACACTTATTAAATATGTAATCATAACTTTTTTCGAAAGTTGATAATGATCGTTATGCTACAACAGCTAGGATTGAACTATGTGTTAATTGATTTAAAAAGTAACTAACCAATGGATTCTCATTTTCTTTATTATAAATCACTGATTTCGTTCTGTATTTGATTGATTCGAGTTCGCTTGACAGTATTGTGAACTCAATTCGAATTTAACTATGTCATTATAATCGCTATCGTTTTTTAATACTAAATAATAATTATGAAATCAGTGTAAACATTTGCAGATATTATTACTTGCTATGTTAGTTTATAATCTTCATGTGACATTTAGAAGATAAATTTTTAACAGCTGGCAGGTATCTTGAAATATACTTTGATTCAATCTCTTAATTTATATTCACATAAATTTCAATTAGGTATTTTGTACAGACTTTTTCGAGAAGTTTGACTAAAGTATATGTAATTTCTACTCTAATGGATCGAAAGTGACAACGTGAAAAAAAAACGAATGACGATGATTAAACTATGTCTTGGTTGGTTGATTTTATCTTATAGGAGTATCGCAAAATATACACTATTTTGATGTTTAAGTTTAAAAATATCGATTTCACCTGTAATTTTTTCTACGACAGATAATTTTGCTTCTTCATGGAAGCATAAATTGGAATCCATTTTAGAGACATTCTGATCGATACACATTTTGATAAAACCATGTTATATTAATGTGTTTCATAAAAGTCACTAATCATTTTACATTTATCAAGAGTCATGTATAAAATTCAATTTGCATTAGTTGAAATTTTTGGTCAAATGATAAATTTGTCATCGTATATTTCATATATTAAAGTTTAGTTTGATAAGACAGAAATGTTGAAAACGATTGGTGTCAAAAGCTGAAAGTAACTCGAAACAAATTAATGTACAAATCGATCAAATCAGAAAGTTCGGAAAATTAATATTTCAGCAAGTAGTCCACATGAAAAACTATACCAACCTAATGAAAGGTTCCAATTCATGATTTTACACATTTTCTATCAAGCAGAATCGTCTACGGCTATAAACAAACATAAGAGTAAAATTATAACTTTATGGTTCTAATATCAATATTTATTAAAGTCTTTCATTCGATATGGTAAATATGAGACCGACATTAAACTGAGTCAAACTCGAACAAATGAAAATCGGTTTGATTCAACCTGTGTTGTTTATTTTGCTACGTTATCAATCATAATTATCTACATAAACATTATTTGTTCTTTCTTTATACGTATTCTCCTTTTCTTTTTTTTTCTGAGTTATATATAACTATCAATGTCATAAATAAATATCCAACGTAAGATGCATGAGAGTCACGATAATTAGATATTTACTATTTTGCAGGTTGCTCTCATTTTTTTTTGATTCATTAATAAGGTAAAAGAAAGAGAAAATACAAGGACGTATATCACCTTGTAGTATATATGTATACATATAGTCAGATGATGTTTGTTACAAATAAAAAAGAGTAAGCTCTATGTTTCACACGTATTATCGTCACCCTCATCGATCATCACATGATTTGCATCGTTCTCACCGAATGCCAGCTAATGCTCTTCGATACTCAAAATCTCGGTTTCCTTCTCGGCACATGATGATGCGTCGTCCTATGTTTTATCCACCAGTACCTGTCAGGCAAGAAAGTTGCTGGGATATTTTTCTTTCTATACTTGCTGCATTATTTTGTATCAACTTATTCCGAGGAGGTAGGCGAGGAATATCTGGCGGTGCTGGTATTGGAGGAATTGGTGGAATTACAACGGGTGGTGGTGGAGTTACATCGGGTGGTGGTGGGGTTACATCAGGTGGTGGTTCATCCAGTTGTGGAGGTGGGGGAGGAGGAAGCTGCGGAGGTGGGGGAGGTGGAGGAGGAGGAAGCTGTGGAGGTGGTGGAGGAGGAGGAAGTTGCGGGGGTGGAGGTGGAGGAGGTGGTGGTGGCGGTGGCGGCGATTAAGATAACTAACAGTATTGTTGACATAGACACAAGTGATACTCACATATATACATTTTTATTTTAACTACTAACATAGAAATAATTGAAATAAAAAAAGCTTCAGGGTAAATTGTAAAAATAAACGACAAACGTTTAAATTAGCAAGCACTTCCTATTCATGACTAGCAATTTATTAATCGCGCTACAAACAATTCTTTTCCATCAAACACTGATCAAATATTCTTTTATCACATTTCAACCTAAATAATATAGTAATACTATAGATACAGTTACTTGTTAGAAAATAGTTTTTGTTTCAGCTACTATAAATTGTTGTGGTATCGTGAATCGATTAAAACAAGAATTAAAATTGAATTGTCGAAGGTCGAATCATTCGAACAATTATATAAGAAGAAGAAATAGTCTGATCACTTTGATGAGTTGATTGTAAATAGATATCTGCATGACCACTATTTTTTCGTCACCTCCCGAAGATGGTTCAAATTTAGTAAAAAGCGCATCAGTACAGCGCTTGAAGCTCCTCTTTATAGGTACTAATATTGTTGAATTTGACTACAATTCATTAACAAATCAAAAAAATTTTTGGAAAAAAATTTGAAAATTTGTAGAAACTCTTTGATTTCTCCATGGTTTTATTCTTTGGCATATAGTCTTAATGACTCATGATCACCTTATAGATTGAAAATTCTAAGCGTTGAATGTATATATGAAACAAAAACGCATTAATTTTTCATTGATCACAATTGATGAACTTTTCGACTTAACAATGATCAAAGAAGATTTAAATCTTAAATATATTGATTATATATTTCGTAGATTATTTTGAAATTTACTCACTAGTGCTATGTTTTCTTAAAATATTTCTGTTAATTTTATCGAAATAGTTCGTGTGAACAATTAGATGCTTCGATTACAATTATTCTATAATTAATCTAAAAAAAACATCAATCTGAAAAAGAAAATGCAATAATGAATAACTTTGAAAGTTTCATAAATATATTTGATAACAATTTTAAAAAATCAGTTAACTTTTAATATAATTACTTATTATCTATTCTATTGAATTTATTTCATTATGTAGCAGTTGCTGATCATAAACCTAATGAAGAAATAACAGTATCAACACTTTCTCTTTTAATTTATACCAAAATTTTATTAAAATAATCATCACGTCTTCATCAAACAGCTCTATCATTGATTCGTATAGCAACTGAAGATAATACTTTAATTGCTAATAATGGAAAACATATTCATATTAAAAAAGGAACTGATATTATATTACCCTGAAGTTAGAGTTATTTTATGCTTATTTTTTTTTTTTTTATAAATCTAATAAAAAACATTGCTTTCTAGGCCAAAATATGAAATATGGATGAATAGGAAAAACTCTAATGTCATGTTATTTTTGTTGATTTCTTTTTTTTTCATGTATGGTCATTGTATACATTTAGCGATATCTAGCGGGAAAAAATAAGAAACGTTCAACTAATCAACAAATAAAATTCAAATGGACATGTTAATGAACTGACCATCATCTATTCGACAAAGAAAAAAGAATCATCATTTTTCTTCTATGTCGATGAAAAAAAGAATGACGGATGATTGTCGAGATTTCTCTTTTTCGACTTTGTCATCAATTGATCCAATAAATATCCCATTAAAAAATACTGATTTTGAATCATCATTAGATTCATATTCAAATGTATTTGATAAAGCGCAACATAATTTTACTACTAGTTCGGAAATTCCATGTACTAATCTTAATAATGAAGAATTAGATAAAAATGTATTACCAACTGTTAATCATAATCGTACATTTACTAAAGAAGTATCAAAACCAATGATTAATGCATTTACAGGAAAACCTATTAGTCCTAATCCATGGAGAAAATTATGTACAAAAAATGTTCAAGATCAAATACATACAGATGTTGTTATACCAATTGAAATATTACCCATTAATTCAGATATAAAATCGCCCAATAAAGACAAAAGTATGAAAAAAAAAGGTACTGTTAATGATAGAATATTTTTTGCTTGTGTTTTAGCGACTCTACAAGATCAATTCAATAACAGAATAGTAACACGTCAATCACGAAGGTATTTTCATATCAGTTGTTGTTTACCACTGAATACTTGAAACATTTAATCGTTGTTATCATAAGAATAATTAAACCAATGACATTTCCATCTTCTTCAAATAATATTTCTATGTTAATAATGCTGACCATAGAAATATTGTCGATGAGAAGAAAATTTCCTTCAATAATAATGTTAAGCAAACTTCGTTATATTAAATCTAACCAGGCAATGTTTCTAAATGTCAAATCACTTTTGAGCTGACACTATATGTATGATGTAGATTCTATTGAGTGATCAATACTTTGAAAAGATTTCGGACTAATAGCTTATCTATACAATCGAACTATTGTATTTTTACCGCATTTTTTATCAAACTGCTTTGTTGCCTCTCAGAAATATCAGAAAAAACTGAGTTTCGGATTTTGACTTATAACTTTGCAAGGAAACAGTCTTTAACGAAAATAGCTTATTGCAATCTTAGAATAAGAGCAATCGAAAGATCTAAAAATCTTACCATTAAGAAAGATCTCTATGAAAAGTTTCAAGTTGAAATTCGAAACTCAGTTTTACTGACGGAGCACTGCATTCTGCTAAAAAATAGAGTAGCTCATTAGCACCGATGTGATTGACATAGTCTCATCTCAACAATGATTTGACATTTAGAAGCATTCTTTCGTTAGAATAGCACATGTATGCCACTCATAATTGACGCGATTGTTTTCATTATCATATAAAACACTGAAAAAGATGAATACAGTCATCTGGAACATTTTCTTGAGTTCTCAGCCATAAAATGTCTTGTAAATAAATTTGAAGTCATTTACAGTATTGATTTTTTTTATTTTCTAGGGATATGATCAGTAATCAACGAACCATCGACAGTAGCAATGATGATGACCAAGCATTTGAACAATGTAATCTTGCATTAGATTCAAATCATTTGTTTTTGAATGTAACAGTTGTTTATTAATGGCTGAAGATAAATCAACTAAGATAGTTCACGAGTTTTAACCGTACAGTTATCGATGTAAAATTATTGATTTCAGTAAAAAAAAATTGTATTATAAACTTTTTCCAATATGACGAGTTGTCTCATATAGTAAGATTGAAAATTTCTTTTTGATATTGGTTCAATATTATTGTCAGAAGAATTTCATTATCGCGAAATATTCTTTATATGGACATGTCAAATCTTGAATGATATATAAATATATATTTCTATTTTGATAGTTTTACAAGAACATCAAAATCCAAAAGTATATGAAAATGAACAAAATACACCTATACGACGTCGAAGAAAGAAAAGAAACAAGTATTAATTATCTCTTTTTTTTTGTATCAAAAAATATTAATTCTTGTATTTTCTATTTTAGTTTAAAAGATTTTATTGATGAATCATCATCATCTTCGAATGAAAATATTAAAGAAAATTTATCAGATGTCAAAACAAAAGTAAATCTTTTGATTCATAATGATCCAACATGGCAAAGGTAAAATTAAATAAAGATAATATATATATAATCTCTTTCCTTTTTCTTAGATTAGCTGATGTTTATACATCTGAAGAATCCGATGAAAAAAATCATTTATTAACAGCAAATACAAATTTAACGTAAGTCTTATAAAAATTTGTAAAATATATTCAATATATTTTTATTTTAGAGTTCGATTAAAATCTGAAATTTATACATCGGATCAATCATCTAGTCCTACATCGTCAAGTTCTTCTTCAACAAAAACTGAGCATCGATCATTAATCAAAAAAGAAGATGAAAAAAATATTTTTTTTAATTTTCTTCAATCACTTTCCGAATGTATATCATTTGAAGATAAACATCCTGATGCTAAACCGTATGCTCATTTATTCTTCTTCTTTTCATTAAGTTTTTTTTGTTGTTGTAAAGGTATTTTATTCGATCAGCATTTAAGCTTAAAGAAAAACGACAAGAATTAGCGGATAAACTTTTATTAATATTTAATCAAGATGTTTTTTCTTCTCAAGTAAATTTTATTTATTTTTCAATTTTTTCTGAAACACGATTTACATGATTATATTGAAGTATACAAGTAAATATTTGAGTCTTTTCTTCCCATAAGACAAAACAGACGCCTTAGCAAAATCTACTCTATAAAGAAATGTGCCTGTGATCATTAACAGCAGCTAAGTCATGTTTCACAATATGAATTCTACGTATATTGTACTAACTGCTTTTGTTTTTATTTGAATATATATTCAGCTATCAGATAAAGTCAGTGTAGTATGGAGTAGTCGTTTAACAGCTACTGCTGGTCATTGTACAACTCGACGAACAACACGTACTGCTGTGATTACACTTTCACATAAAGTTTGTGATTCACCTGGTTCGTAGGAAACCTAATTTCGTATTAAAAAACACACTTAAATTTATTAATTTTAGAACGTTGCCGTGATACCCTTTTACATGAAATGTGTCATGCAGCTGTCACTTTAATTGATGGTGTTATGGAACATGGTCATGGACCTCTATGGCGTCAATGGACACGTATGGCTGAACGATGTTATCCTTATTTACCATTAGTTTCAGTAAAACATACATATGATGTTATTTATAAATTTATTTATCGTTGTGTTCAATGTCAACATCAGTAAAACTTTTTTCTTTTTGAACTTTTTTTAAGCTTTTCTTTTTCTATCTTTTCTTAGAGTTTATCGACATTCAAAATCATTAAATCTTGATGTTGATTTTTGTGGTAAATGTATGGGACAATTTCAATTAATTATAAATCATAAACAAAATGAAATCAAACAAGAAAAACAAACACCAAAAAGAACAATTAATCAATATAATTTATATGTTCAAGAAAATTTTCAAACAATGAAACAAGCTAATCCACATTTATCTACACCACAATTAATGAAACAACTTAGTACTGAATATAAAAAGAGAAATCAACAACAAACTATTGATTTACCTAATTTAGATCAATTAAAAATTTAATTCATCTTCATAGTCAAATATGTTATATGTAAATTTTTATATAGATGTATTCTTTCTTGCTCTGTTCTTATGTATGTGTTAGATAATGACAGTATCAATTCTTTTTTTTT